AAATGAATTTGTAACTGATTGACGCGATCATCTATCTCTACCATACGTACTCATATTAGTTGCAATTGCATGGCATAGAGGGTATTGATTTCGTTGTGTCTCCGGCTCTTTGCCCCTTGACAATTGGCACATGAAAAACTATAGGTCCCCCCTTTCTTTACTAATTGGTTCCCCCATTGATTGCATATATGATATATACTACTCATCTAATTGTCATAAAGACACCTAATCCATCCTAGTTAATTAAGAACTAGATCATGATGATGATTTCTTTTGATATCACTAATGTCAATTAGTTTTTGATTATGGTGTATCTTTATAAGATATCACTTTGAGCCTCTTTCCTTTTCTTTTCACTTTTGCCTTTTTTCTATATATATATTTAGAGTACACTTGTTTTGCTTTGGAGGAGGAAATGATGGTGTTCCTTGAATCTTTGTGGAAACTTTTGCAAAGAAGGGTTTTCATTTGTCTCAACTTCAATAGCTATTGAGAAGATAACAGCTAATGAAAGCCCAATATTAGCTCATTCGAAACCCTTTCCCTTGGGGCCCATTAGAAAGGTAGAAATTGCATTCTATAATTAGTTGACATTATATAGGCTTACATAAGAAAAAATTCATGTAGAGAAAAAAGATTACACTAGTCATTACATTAATAGCGTTTACGAGCCTCCCACTTTAGTATTATCTCTCTTTTTACCAACTGAGCTACCCTATCAATCATTTGCGGCGCTTTCTTTCGAACTAGAACTCACACAACGCAAATACATACATACATATATATAAATAATATGTTTATCAGGAAAATGACATTTTTTATCAAAATACTTACGTTACCGGTATTTTTTGACAAAATTATGAATTGAGTGTGTTTTTGTTCAAAATTTATATAATTTAAGGATATTTTTGACCCTTTTCATATAAAATTTAGCCAATATAACATAATTAATCTCAATAATTTAGATACTATACGGACATTGAAAAAATAACATGCAAGTCTCACATTAATTAACCTCAATAACTAATTGAATACTATACGGACATTGGAAAAATATCATGCATGTTAGTGTGTGTGGAAAAATATCTCACATGCATGTTAGTTTGAGTGTGTGCGTGCATGCGTGTGTGTGAATCGGAGCAATAACTGCTATAAAGTAAGAAGATGCGTAGGAACGATTCCTAAACCGCTATAAAGTAAGGAGATGCGCATGAACGATTCCTAAAGCAAAGACTGAGAATGCTCCACGACTAAGTACACTTATTCAAACTCACTTTTATTCAACTATAAAAAATAAGCACTTTGATGAAGATTTATAGCATCATTCAAGTAAATATTGATTAAAATCATAGAAACATGAGCTTGTGATATAGCTACACCTAATTGCAGACCGATTAATGCAAGAACTATAAATAAAGGACTAAGATCCCCTATGAAATATAAAAATCATTCATATATATATAGTGTAGTCTAAGTGAACCCACTTAGAAACTTTACTGAACTATGATCGGCCATCATATTAGCAAATGAACATATTCTTGAGCTGAATGCTCGAAAATAATAAGGAATTAGTTTAAGGAGTACTAAAAAAGTTGCTAAGAATAGTGGAACTCCGAGATAGTTTGATTCATGTTCTAATTATGCAAGAATTATGATGAAAAAAAAAAGTTACTTTGTGGTGAATAATAATATTATTTGAATTACATTATATAATTTGTTTAGTGAAATGATAATACATGGATTTCTACATACAAATGACCTATTGTAAGCCTATTTTCAATCTTTAGTTTTTTTTTTTATCTATATATTAAGGTTCTTCTTCTCTAATGACTATGGGAGTTGTTAGCAAAAAATGGGTGAATTGACATTTCTTGCTCATGAGCATCACAACATCAACATCTAGAGGCAATATAAATGAAAGATCTTTTTGTATTTTTCTTTCACCGTGCTCTATCAATACTTTGAGTTAGAGGTTTGGGCTGATACTATCCATTATGACGTGTATGCCACATCAGCAAAAAATTCTACATATACATGCGTAAATAACACGTTTATGTGAATAACATGATAGACATGTATGTAAGTTTAGTTAGCCAAGTAAAAGAGTGTTTTTAAAGTTGTCAATAGTTTAATGACAAAATTAATAATTCGCGCCAAGTTTATGAGTGTTTTTAATACTTCTCTCTAGGTTTTAATTGAAAATTTGTGACTACTATAATTTGTAGCGGTAGGTTTTTTGTTTTTAGATTAAAAACTTGAGTATTTTTAAATGAATAAAAGGGATATTTTTATAATTTAACTTTGAAGTTATGAATTGATTCCTTTTAATATAAAGGAATGCAATATAAGCAATACACAATTTCATATTCAACTTAATTTTTTAGAACAAAACCGCACTTGATAGTATTTGTGTTTATTTACCACATAAGTAAAAGATGAAACATCAAGTACAATAATACTTGTAATTTGTAAAGAAAACCCACTATGATGGTCCCTTATGCTTTTACACTTCATAGTTTTAGAGGTTTAATTTGTACTAAAATATATATGAAGATTTTATAATGTTTTAAAATTATGGATTTTTTTGCTAAATAAGTGGGATCCAATATAGATAACATTTGCATAGTGTTATTTCCTCTGTTTGTTTTTAGTTGTCAGGATAAGATTTAACACAATCCTTAAAAAAATTTAATAAAGAGTGTTTTTTTACCAATATATCCCTTATTAATTCTTTAATTTCGATCTATATATGTGCCTCTTAATTCTAAAATAATAAATATTAAGGGCAAAATTGGAAAAATACAATTAGTTCTCTCTTGATTGTTTAATTGACAATTATTTTGGAACAAATATTTTTAGTAGAGACGGTAACTAAAAAGTAACGGAGGGAGTTTTAAATACTGCCAAATAAAAAATGTGTTGTTATCTCTGTGTCTCAGTTTATTTGACTTACTTTCATTTTTAGTCCGTCCAAAAAAGAATGACATATGTCTATATTAAGTAACAATTTAATTGTAAAATACTCATTTTACCTTTAACAAAATGATTTATAATCACACAAATAAACTATCATTTATTTTAGGCTACAAATTTCAAAAGTTTTTTTTCCTTCTTAAAATCCATGTCAAGTTAAACTAACTCAAATAAAATGAGACAAAAATATTTTTTTTAGTGACTGTCCAAAGAAAAGGTATGTCATATAAATTGGATCAGGAAAAAATATTCCATTACAAATATTATAAGTATCAATTACTGTATATAATTTTTTTTATATCCATATTATAAAAATATAAAAGATGCCTATGCTTTTTAGGCGGGTAAAAGTTTCCATATCTACTGACAAAATTATGCTAAAAACACACTTCATTTCTAGCTATTTCTCTTTCCCCCCAACTTTTGCCTGACAACCTCCTTTTTCTAGCTAGTTAAAAAAAATACTACTGTACTAAGAATTATGCTAATCTCAAAAGAAGAAAGCAAATATTGTATAAAATCTCAAATTAATATTCCATAAAATTAACAAGGAATGATTTTTTTTACAAATTGGATGCAGCAACCACTCAATTAATTTCAGAATATATACCTAAATCTCACAAGAATTCAAGTCTAAAACGGTTAGATAAAAAGTTACCCCGCTTGAATTACTTTTATTTGGCACAAAGTTTAATAAAAAAAAGACTTTTAAAACTTATGATCTAAAATAAGTGATAAATGTTTGTATGATTATAAATTATTTCATTAAGGATAAAATAGATATTTTAAAGTTAAAATATTACTTAATATAGAAATGTATTATTCTTTTTTAAATGGACTAAAAAAGAAAGTGAATCATACTCCCTCTGTCCCTCATTACTTGTTCATATTTCCTTTTTTAGTTGTCCCTAATTACTTGTCCATTTTGACAAATCAAGAAAGAATATTTTTTTTACCTATTATCCCCTCAATTAATTACTTTGAAAAAGGTAGAAATTTTTGAAAATATTAAGTTTTTAATTTATCCACTTCATAATTAATAGAGGTAAAATGGTAAACTCACTATTTCAATTATTGATTTCTTAATATGTGTGTTAATTCAAAAGTGAACAAGTAATTAAGAATAGAGGGAGTACAAGTTGGGACATAGGGAGCAATGAAAGAAATTTTGTAATGTGACTAATAGTAAAAAAGAGTTCCGTTAACTATAAGAGTAGGTCTAAAATGGTTCCTTAACTATGTTTTTGTTGGATTTAGTCTTTTAACTATTTAAAAATTTATCAGATTTGATCTCTTAACCATACATTTATCGGTTTTAGTCCCTTAACTATTCATTTATCAATTTTACTTCTCTAAGTATTTAAAAACTTATCATGTTTGGTTTCTATCCATTTTTTACGCAAGTAACTTAGGTTTATATTTAAGAGATCAAAACTGATAAGTTTTTAAATAGTTAAAAGACTAAATTCGATAAAAGTATAATTAAAAGACCACTTTATACCTACTCCTATAGTGAAAGGACTATTTTGTGGCATTTTCTTGTAGTAGTAAAAAGGAGAATAAGATATGATGAGACAACAAAAATTTGAAATAGCTAGTGTTTGTATTAAGGTAATAAAAAGCCAAACTAGAATTCCACATAATAAAACAAGACCAATTTTATTGGTTAAAACATAGAGAGAAATGATACAAAAGTTTAAGTGTCAGTCACTACCAATACCATTCTGAGTTTTGGTCCTCAACATATCTAAAGGCCAAAACTTTTCTGGGTCCATTCCATTTCCAATATTTAATGCAGCTTAATTAAATGCATAACTTGAAAAAATTACTACTCTATATATGCAAGCAAGCAAGCAAATCTGAGGTGTCAGATTGTAACCTTTACTAGAAAAAAGAATTTACATTCTGTCATCTTTGAAAGAGACTTGCTTTCGTTTCGATATGCTTATTTGTAGTTGTTGTAATCAAGGTGTACTGATATTGATTTCTTGTTGTAAGTGAACCCCATTTTACGTTGTGGTGTTAGAATGAAGTTACTCAAGTTCTTGATGGTTTTTGTTCTTTATTTTGGCTCTGTCATTGGGCAGCTTCCCTCTCCGGATATATTGGCTTTGCTCGAGTTTAAGAAAGGTGTCGAACATGATCCAACGGGGTTTCTTCTTGAATCTTGGAATGAGGAGTCTATTGATTTCAATGGATGTCCTTCATCTTGGAATGGGATAATGTGTAATGGTGGTAATGTTGCAGGAGTTGTTCTTGACAACTTGGGTTTAGTTGCTCATGTTGATTTGAGTGTATTTGCTAATCTTACAAAGCTTGTTAAGCTTTCAATGGCTAACAATTCAATTGCTGGGAAAATGCCTAATAACATAGATAGATTTAAGAGCCTTCAGTATCTAGATCTCTCAGGTAATCTATTCAACTCTTCTTTACCCCCAGAGGTTGGACAGTTAGGGAGGTTAAAGAATCTGTCATTAGCTGGTAATAACTTCTCTGGTATGATACCGGAGACAATTTCAGGGCTTGTGTCTATGCAATCTTTGGACTTGAGTCACAATTCTTTTTCTGGGGCTCTATCTTCATCTCTGATGAAATTGACTGGTTTGGTATACCTGAATCTATCTGTTAATGTATTCACAAAGGAAATTCCTAAAGGATTTGAGCTGATGGAAAATCTTGAAGTGCTTGATTTGCACGGAAATATGTTTGATGGCAATTTGGATGCAGAAATGTTGCTGCTTACCACTGCAACTCATGTTGACTTGAGTGGAAATTTGCTAGTGAACACTGCTTCTCAGCAGCAGAAATTTTTGCCAGGTTTATCGGAGTCGGTGAAGTATTTAAATCTTAGCCATAATCAGCTAAAGGGTTCACTTGTAAGTGGAAATGAAGCTCAGACTTTTGGCAACTTGAAGGTCTTGGATTTGAGCTACAATCAGCTCTCAGGGGAATTGCCTAGTTTCAATTTTGTTTATGATCTACAGGTGCTTAAACTTGCCAACAACTTATTTTCCGGATTTATTCCGAATGATCTTTTGAAAGGAGATGCATTGCTTCTCACTGAGTTGGATTTGAGTGGAAACAACCTCACTGGTAAATACATGAAACCCTTTGGTAAATAACTGTTTTCGCTGTTTTTCTCAATCTCTTCATTTTGCAGGTCCAATAAGCATGATAACATCCACAACATTGCGAACTCTTAACTTATCCTCCAATGCTCTTTCTGGTGAACTTCCCTTTGTGACTGGAACTTCTGCGGTGCTTGATCTCTCGAAAAATCAGTTCAAAGGTAATCTAACTAGAATGCTGAAATGGGGGAATATTGAATTTCTTGACCTTAGCCAAAACCGTTTGACTGGAAACATCCCTGAGGTTACGTCTCAGTTTCTGCGTTTATATCACCTCAACCTTTCGAGCAATACCTTGACAGGATCTATCCCGAAAGTTATTTCACAGTTTCCTAAGATCACTGTCCTTGATCTCAGTTTCAACCAGCTGGATGGGCCTCTTCTTACTTCTCTACTAACTATGCCCACTATTGAAGAACTTCACCTACAAAACAATGCATTTGTTGGAAGCATTGATTTCTCTCCTCTGGCTAGTACTCCTAAGCTTCGTGTTCTAGATCTTTCTCATAATCAGCTTGCTGGTTACTTTCCTGATGGATTTGGGGCACTGATTGCACTTCAACTACTCGATATATCAGGAAATAATTTCTCTGGATCTTTGCCAACTTCCATGGGTAATGTTAGCTCTCTTACTTCTTTAGATGTTTCAGAGAATCATTTCTCGGGTGAACTGCCAAAAAACCTGCCTAACAGCCTCCAAAGCTTTAATGCATCACTCAATGACTTCTCTGGTGTCGTGCCTGAGAATTTGAGAAAATTTTCCTTATCATCTTTCTACCCGGGAAACTCTCAACTTCAATTTCCGAATCCTCCTTCAGGATCTGGTCAAGCTTCAACAGAAAAGCATAAGAGCAGGCAACTTAAAACTATTATTAAAGTGGTGATCATTGTTGCTTGTGTGGTTGTTCTTGTTGTTTTAATCATGCTAGCCATTTTTGTATTTTACTTGCGGGCATCGAGGAACTCGCAGGCACATGTTACTGACAATGACATCCGCCGTCAAACCCAATCAAATCCTTCTGGTTTTAGCAGTAGAGAAGGTGCAGTAGTTTCAGCACAAGATGTTACAGCTGCTTCACGGAAAGCATCATCATCAGAAGTAATTAGTGCTGATGAGAAAACGACAGGTTTCTCCCCTTCGAAAACAAGTCATTTCACTTGGTCACCAGAGTCAGGGGAATCATATACTGCAGAAAGCCTAGCTGATAATTTGGCTGGAGAGCTGTTCTTCCTTGATGATACAATCTCTTTTACAGCTGAGGAACTATCTAGGGCCCCAGCTGAAGTCTTAGGCAGAAGCAGCCATGGGACATCTTACAGGGCAACACTAGATAACGGGTTGCTCTTGACTGTGAAATGGTTGAGAGAAGGAGTGGCCAAACAGAGAAAGGATTTCACAAAGGAGGCTAAAAAGTTTGCCAACATTAGACATCCAAATGTGGTGGGATTAAGAGGTTACTACTGGGGTCCCACACAACATGAGAAGCTTATTCTTTCAGATTACATATCTCCCGGAAGTCTATCAAGTTTTCTATATGGTAAACTTTATCTTCTCGCATCAACCTTGCAGTTCGTCTTATGCATATCGTTTCCTATAACACTTTGAACTCATAAAACACTTATAATCTTTCCTTCTTTTGATATTTTTTAGTATTTCATGGCAAACAATTTGTCAGTTTGATATCTTGACAGTTCTTGTGGGGAATGAATTTTCTCAGTCTGTGATACACAAATTAAGGATAAGAAGCCATTTCCATTTTTAGTTAGCATAGTGAGTCCAGCTAATTTATTCATTCATTATACAGCTTGTAATCAGTTCATTCACAATCATATATGAAACTACACTCTTTCTCTTCTGAATCTATTCTCTCAATATTTCTCCTTCTTTAGCTGTTCTTCTTGAGGGAACTCCTGAAACAGTCACTTGATCCTCGAATTCCTTGTGAATTCTTGCAATCAAGTAACAGTTTGTATTATCATGAAATATAGTATCACTTTCACTGTGGAATTCTTCAACTTAAACTGCTGATGTCTAGATTCTGATTAATTGTTGGAAAACTTTAAGCTTGTCCAAGGTCCTATACACTACGTATGTCTTTGTTACCTGGTCCGACTGGATGTGTAAGCAGGCCTTTACTTGGTTAATATCCCTGCACTGGCAGTAAGGTTCTGCAATAGTTGTGGTACTTTGCTCATAAAAATGTCACAATGAACTGCAAATTCTTCAGTGCTCAAATACCTTATTTTCGATTGGTGATTCTACCTGCTCAACTTCTCTACTATTTTGTATGCTTTTGTGTAGTTTGTATAGTGTAAGGTTTCTGTATATACATTTAACGTGCGACACCTTTGCAGATCGACCTGGAAGAAAAGGTCCACCACTAACCTGGCCCCAAAGACTCAAAATATCAGTTGATATTGCGCGTGGCCTGAATTATCTCCATTTTGACCGCGAGGTTCCTCATGGAAACCTTAAAGCAACCAACATCTTGTTGGATGGTCCTGATCTTAATGCACGAGTTGGTGATTACTGCCTTCACCGTCTTATGACTCAAGCGGGGACAATTGAGCAAATTCTTGATGCTGGAGTGTTAGGTTATCGTGCACCAGAGTTGGCTGCATCGAAGAAACCAGTGCCTTCCTTCAAATCAGATGTATACGCTTTCGGAGTCATTTTGTTGGAGGTCCTAACTGGGAAATGTGCAGGTGATGTTGTTTCTGGTGAAGATGGTGGTGTAGACTTGACTGATTGGGTAAGGTTGAAAGTGGCAGAAGGTGGAGGATTCGATTGTTTTGATAATGCATTGTCATCTGAGATGGGAAATCAAACAATAGAGAAGCAAATGAAGGAGGTTCTTGCAATAGCTCTAAGATGCATACGTTCGGTATCTGAGAGGCCAGGTATCAAGACTGTATATGAGGACCTTTCATCTATTTAGTTTTCCTCATTTTGGCTTTTGCTTGGGAATCAAATAGCTCATTGGCTTCCCTTGAGTTTGTAGAATTAGCAAGTTTAGTGTGTGAATGGGCTAGTTTTACTAACCATTGTTTGTTGTAAATTGGGGCATATTTATAATGTATACAACTTTCACCCCCCACCCCACTTTTTTTTTTTTTGCTGAAAGATTCCAGTCTTTGATTACTCCTGGTTCTGAGGCATCATCAACATTCCTCCTGGATCAAGAGCTGTAAAATCCTAGCTTTTCTCTAAGAAGCTCAAATATGTTGTCATAACATGATTTGGTAAAAAAATCAGCCATCTGATTTTCTGTTTTGCAATAAACCAATATCACTTCACTAGTCTTTGGTATTTTCCATAAAAAATTTAACTTGATATTGAAATGTTTAGTTCTTCCATAGAAGACTGAATTTTGTGATATGGCTATAATAGTTTAGTTATCTACCAATATTTGTGTACCTTATTTTTGCTTCACATGCAAATCTGTCATAATTTTTCTCAGCCATAATGCTTGTTTACAACAATTGTTGTTGCTATAAATACTGCTTCAGCAATTGATTGTGCCACTATTTCTTGCTTCTTTGAGCACCATGAGAAGCAACTTGAGCCAAACTAAAACATTACCTTGCTTCTCATGTCATCAACGGCTCCTTCCAATCACTGTCAGAATATACATAGAGTTTGAAGTGTTGACTTTTGCTAAATTTGATGTTACCTTATGTTAATATACCTAATCACTCTCTTAACAACCATCATACGCAATTCACTTGCATTCTTCTGTTCTAAATCTTTTTAGGAACTCCATATATTTCTTTTGGCAAACAAAGACATCGTTATAAATTTGTTTGATCTCTATTCTCAAAGAATAAGTCATCTCATCAAGATCAGTCATCTCGAAGACTTTCATCATCTCTTCCCTGAACTTTTCAATCAATGCAACATTATTTTCTGTCACAAGTAAATACAGAGAAATAATAATAATGTTAGAGCCAATTTTCTTGACATAAAGAGTCGTATCATGTAAATTTTTTTGAAGTCTAAATCTAGCAAATAGTTATCGATTCAGTTGTTTTAAATTTTGAGAGTTTGCTTTAATATGCATAGAACTTTCTTTAATAGATAAATCATATCTTCATGTATTACTACGTTGAATCCTTTTGATTTTTCAACATAAATTTCATTCTGTAATAATAATAAAAATGTGAGAGCCAATTTTCTTGACATAAAGAGTTGTATCATGTAAGCTTTTTCTAAAGTCTATGTCTAGCAAATGGTTATTTATTCAGCTGTACTAAGCTCTGAATGTTTGATTCAATCGAGCTTTCCTTAATAGATAAATCATATATTCATGTCTTTCTACGTTGAATCTTTTTGATTTTTCAACATAAATTTCTCTCTGTAGTATACCGTTCTAGAAGGCAAACTTCACGTCAATGATTAATCTTCCATTTTTTTCATGCTGCTATAACCAAAAGCATTCTAATTGTATCTGTCAAATGAGTTGGCGGATTTAGTCATAATCTGCTACATGAGCTGACAGATTTGATTGCAATTTACTCCACAAATAAGTTGGCAAATTTGATTAAAATCTACTCATGTAAATATGAGATTAGAATATATTATTCCAGAAAAATAGTTTAGAGGAAGTCCCTTGATTCAAGGATTTCCTAAGAATTAGGGATTGATTAGTTTATTTGGTCTTACTTGTTCTCTTATAAATACTATACAAACACTATGAATAAAGATATACTTTTTGCAGTATCTAAACTTTTATGGTATCAGAGTGAGACTTTTTCCTCTAATATCATATGGATAAAACAGTCTTTCACGGAGAGCATCTTCCTGGAACATCAATAGAAGACAAAAGTTTTTCTCTAGAAGCTCTTACAGAAAATTTGATGACACAAGTAGGCAATGCTTCTCACATGCTCTTCCAGTTAACTTCTCATCGATTAAATGGGAAGAACTATCTGAAATGGGCACAACCCATAAAGCTTGCAATCCATGGCCTTGAAAAGCTAGGACATCTAACCAGAGAGACCAAAAAATCGGGAGTTGGAGACCCAAAGATGAACTCCTGGAGATTAGAGAATTCACTCGTGATTGCTTGGTTAATAAATTCCATGGAACCAGTCCTAGATAAATCTTATCTCTTTTTGCCCACTGTTAAGGATGTGTGGGAAGCTGTTAGGGAGACATATTATGATATAGAAAATGTCTCTCAAATTTTTGAGTTAAAAATTAAACTATAACAAGCTAAGCAAGGAGAGAAGGAGTCACTATTTATCATAATGAAATGGTGTCTTTGTGACAAGAGTTAGACCAATGTTACAATGATGAATTAGAGTGTTCTATGGATAGTGTGAAAGCAAAACAATGGCAGAAAATGAGAGACTTTTCCTTTTTTTTTTAACACAATTAAATCGAGAGTTTGAAGAGGTCAGGTCGTGAATCCTAGGAAAAAACCCTCTGCCCTCACTTCGTGAAACCTTTTCTGAAGTTAGGAGATAGGAGACTAGGAGGAAAGTTATGTTAAAACCTGATTTAAATATTGAACTAAAACCTGCTATAGACTCTTCAGCTCTTGTAACAGTGAAGAATAGAGATGACAAAAACAAAAGGCCATGGTGCGATCATTGCAAAAAATATTAGCACACCCGTGAAACATGTTGGAAGATTCATGGAAACCACTAAACTGGAAGAAGGGGGGAGTTGATAATCGTGACTTCCAATATCAAAATGGTCAGGCCCTCCAAACAACTTATTTTGATCAGGGGCAACTATCTTCTCCAACAACATCTTCATTTACAAGGGAACAACTGGTAATTCTGCACAAACTCATTCAATCTCCACAATGTCGTCCAAATGCTCCAAATTCTTCTAATCATTCTTGTTCTTTTGTTGAAACATGTACTGTATCGTCTGTTTTTCTTAGTGTCAATTCCAACCAAATAGATTCTTGGATCACAAATTCAGGAGCTAGTGACCATAGTTCCCATTTTTCTCTATTCACACTCCTTGTGCAGGGAATAATAAAATCAAGATAACTGATGGTTCCTTCTCCGCAATTGTTGAAAAAGAAACTATTAAACTATCACCATCTCTTGCACTTCATGATACTTTTCATGTTTCAAAGCTCTCTTATAATCTGGTTTCTGTCAGTAAATTAACATGTTCTCTTAATTGTCGTGCTATTTTTTATTTTAATTTGTGTGAATTTCAACAAAAGGTCTCGAAAAAGATAATTGACAGTGCTAGAGAATCTGGAGATCTTTGTTTTCTTGACAACGGGAACAACTCACTACAACTGAATCATATTTATTTAGACTCTACTTTTGTTTTGAATAAAGTCATGCTTTGACACTATAGGCTTGGCCATTCAAGTTAATATTATTTAAGATATTTGTCACCTCAGTTATTTAGAAATAAAAATTCGTCCTTATTCCAATGTGAATTCTGTGGAATGGCTAAGCATCACCGGTCTTTTCTCTCTCTCAAAGATATCAGACTTCAAAACCTTTTATGATGATTCATAGTGATGTTTGTGGACCATATAGAATTGAGTCTTGGCTTAGTTAGATTCTATATAAATTGAGTAACAAAGGAAGATTTTAGGAAAAACTTCTACGTTTGTATGATCTGTGGTTGTATTTTGGCCATTTTTGTGTTATAACTTAACTTTTAGTCGTGAAGTCTTATATTAGGATTAGCCTTAGCCTTGTTTGACGTTATAGAACACTTCTACCTGGTTTAAAACTTAGGTTTATATGGGTTGAATGATTGATTATGATTGTGTACCCTTTTCCGTTTATTTTCAAGCTTTTTGTGGGCTTGTTACCTTGGACTAGCTGGAGTTCTAGGTTAGTAAGACTATAGTGTGACAAGTGCCTACCCATTTGTTTGTGTGATGTGGTTGAATTGAGAATGGATTGATGGTGTTTTGTATGCACTCATGCGCACGATATTTTGCATTTGACATGTTTTGAATAAGGAATGAGAGAAATATGTAAATGAGATACTTAAACGATTTTACTACAATTTCCACTTGTTTTGGTCTCTAAGGGAGCGAGTTATAGATTTTATTTAAGGAAACTTGAGATTTTGAAAGGAAATTCATCATTTTCTGTGGTTTTAGTTCTAAAGATGTATTTATTTTGACTCATTCGATACTTTTGCTGATAAGCTCGAGGAGGAATTCTCGAGCTACTCTAGAAACTATTATGGGTTATATTTTTTGAATTTCATCTGTTGTCAAGTCCAAGGGATCATTTTCGGTGGCTTGAGAAACTTTGTCGGGCTTCTATTTTTATGCATTGACCACATTTGCATTTCATAATCATGATTTATCATCATGATTTATCTGTAGGTTGTGATTGTTTTGTGTTGGTTATCATGTGCTTATTACTTTTGTCTTCACTGTCATTTGTAGTTCGTATATCTCTCATTAGTTGATAAATCGTAGTGCACTATCGTGCCTTTTTATTTATATAGTTTCTATTGGAGCTCGGTCGACCTATGTTTCCTATTAAGTACCTCGTATTTTGATACTCATACTACACTTCCGCATCTTTTTCTGATGCAACTCCTAGTACGATTCACTCTTGCTGAGTTTGGATCTCCCCTGGCCATTGTTGATTTGGACTGTATTGAGCTCTTGGTGTCCGAAGATTGCTACTTTCCCTCTTTTTGTACTGTCAATATATTTTGTATTTTAATTAGACAGATCTAACGCATATAATCCTTTATGTACTTAGACGCACTTGTACTAGTGATACTAGGTTCGGGGTTGGTTTTTGTGTATAGTTTTATCCTTCTCAGTCCTTTTTGGGTCATTTTAAATATGTTTTGTATCATTTTATACATATCTATGCTATAGGTCCCACTTCTTCTTATTGTTTCTTCCGCTTAGTTTTATCTTTTGATAGTATTGCTTCTAATTGAATTTTGGCTTGTCTATTAGAAGGTTTATAGTAGGTGCCTTTGTGACCCCATTTCAAATTGTAACATTACTCAAATTTAAGAGTGATCTTTAA